CTGGTGGACTTCCTCTCTGAAAAGAAGACCATCTCCTACCAGGGCTGTATGGCCCAGATCTTCTTCTTCCACTTTCTGGGAGCCGTCATGGTCTTCTTCCTCTCGGTCATGGCCTATGACTGCCTTTTTGCCATCTCTCGGCTCCTCCACTATGTCAACATCATGAACACTCAGCACTGCGTGGGGCTGGTGGTGACAGCCTGGATGGTAGGTTTCATGCATTCCATTGCCCAGCTGGCTCTGATGCTCCCATTGCCCCTCTGTGGCCCCAACATCCTGGATAACTTCTACTGTGATGTCCCACAAGTGTTGAGACTTGCTTGCACTGACACCTCCCTCCTGGAGGTCCTCATGATCTCCAACAGTGGAATGCTGGATGTCATCTGGTTCTTTCTCCTCCTGACCTCCTACTCAGTCATCTGGGTGATGCTGAGGTCCCACTCTGGGCAGGCGAGGAGGAAGGTGGCTTCCACCTGCACCACCCACATCGTCGTCATGTCTATGGTTTTCATTCCAAGCATTTACCTCTATGCCCGGCCCTTCACCTCCTTCCCCATGGACAAGGCTGTGTCCATCAGCCACACGGTCATGACCCCCATGCTCAACCCCATGATCTACACCCTGAGGAACCAGGAGGTGCAGGCAGCAGTGAGGAGACTAGGGAGGCCCTGGCTGGTGTGTAAAAGGGAGCAACAATGAATAGGTCACTTCTCCTTGGCTTTGTTTTCCATTCGTAGAATGGAGGGAAAGCTACTGTATTGGCTGACTTCATAGTTGGTGGGTATGTTGTGGAGGTCGTCACAGAAGTGACTGAGTTTCGAAATTAAGCAACTGACTCAGATTTTTAGGAAAAGGGAAAAAGTCCTCTTTGGTGGCTAAGGTTTATGCTTAAGTTCTAAAACTCCTGCTACAATGAGAAGCGTTCTCATGGCTCCAGAAAGCCACACCCTTCTTTTCCTCTTCTTGGTGGATAGTTTCCTCTTCTGAGGAGGCTATTTCCCCAGGGAGAGCAGTTCTGGTTTAGGTGTTTTCCCAGCCACTTTCGGTCGGTGTCCAGAGTGTTAGAGAAAGCACAGGCCTTGAAGCCTTAGCCCTAAATTGAGAGCCGCCGACCATTCGTTCCCAGACTGGTGACCTGGAGCCGCTACCTGGCTTCTCTTGAACCTATGGATTCTTCCTCACCGCACTGGCATAGGGCAACATCTGTCCCACTGATCTCACAGATTTGTTATAAGATTCCAAGACATGTAGAAGAATATTTTATAAACCTTACATAGAACCTAGGCAAGGATTATTGTCATTGTCATCCTTCTTCTTGATATTTCTTCTCTCATCAGAGGCGTAGTGTTTTGGAGGGGTTTGGCGGCAATTCCTCAGCGCAGTGAGGGAGGCCTGGAGGGGGTGGGGGCTGAGCTCCAGAGGGCCTTGCCACATGCCCAGGAGTGACACAGAGAACAGAGGGTGAGCATAAATCCAGGGGCATGTCTGCAAGGCTCTAACAACTTACTGCTCTCCTTGCCCCCCTCACCCCTATTTTCAGACTCCACACTTCTGGCGAATAGGATTGGGAAGATCTGTTCCCGTGTTCATTCATTCATTTTCGTGAACACACGTTGGGGGCCTGCTGCAGCACTGGTGCGTAGACGGTGCTCTCTAGCACGTGCTGACTCTCATTCCTCTTACCCTCCCCCTTTTCCCTCCTCTCCCTCCCTACATTGATGTCTGCCAGTTCAGTCTTTACGTCCGTCCATGGGGGCTTTCCCCCCGCCTCCAGTTCAGTGGTGTCCCTTGCTTCCTCTCTTCCTGGACCTCATTGCCACACACCCGTCGCATGTGTCCTTCACTCTCACACTGGACCTTTGGGATCAGGTTGTTTGGCAGAGTTGAAGAGAAAAAGTGGGTTATGGTTACAGTTGCAAAGGGCTGCAACCCCGGCTGCTTTTATTTAAATCCTGAAGTTGTGCATTGTGGGGATAAGAAGCCGTCGGGACAGAAACAGCTGGTCTCTCCTCCTTCCTGCCCTCTCTGTCCTTACGCGGTCATCTTGTATACGACTCAGAAGGGAGCCTCCACCCGAAAACCGGGCCTTCCCGTTCTGCTTTCTGCAGTTAACTAGCTCAGTGTCTCGGGTTCAAACTCCAAAGCCCTATGAGAATAATCTGATGGGCTGAGGTGATGTGCAGGTCATGTGACATAAGCATGGCATCGAGGTACATCCCTCCAGCAGGAATCGTGGGTGAGGGTTGTTCCCAGAGAAGGAGCATGTGCGTGGACAGACTCCCCTCCCAGGTATGTCTGCCATGAAAGGCACGAGCAGGGGACTCCTCAAATGACACCATCCAAGGAACTTGTAATTATTTATGTCTAGACATTCATGTTTTTATTCATCCATTAAACACCATTACACAAGGATTTATTGAGTGCTTCCAATTTAGTTTTTCTGTCCTGTTTCCCCCTAAGTTCTTAGGGAAGAAAAGACAGGACCCTGAGGAAGCAGGGAATCCTGTGAAAACTCATGTGGCTGCAGCAGTGGCTAACCCAGTAGGAACCATCAGCAGTTGCTAAGGGAGCTGGGATGGAGTGAGAGCTGAAAGCGGGAGAGGAAGCAGCTGGGGCACCAAGGACAATGATGCTTCCTGGAGAGCTGCCTATGGGCATGTCTCCTACGTCCCATGGATGCAGGGGCATACAAGGAAAGGGCAGAGCATGACTGTGCGGGCCATAAGAGGTTCTTTCTCCGTGGAGAATTTAAAACGGTAAAACTGACTAAAGGTGCTTCAATAAGTACCATGCCTGAGCAACTCTGAACAATATCAGAGCTAAAATTCTCCCTGCCAAGTGGGTTATTCCCACCACCCTGCTCTTCATGAACCTGGAGTGTGTGTGTGTGTGTGTGTGTGTGGTGTGCATGAGACCCTGAGAAAAGTGGGGGAAAGAATTAGAACTAGAGTTGGGGAGAAGACCAGAGGCCTTATGAAGGAGGAGAGTGTGAGCAGCAGAAAGAGAAGACCTCACGCTCTCTCTGATTCTGTACTGGTGTCAATAAAACAGCAAGGCTATGGGGTGACCGCTGAGGAGAAGGCCAGGAGGGAATGAGGAGGCCCTGTCTCCCATCACAGGGAATGTGTCCAGGAAGCCCCTTGCCTCTCCCAAGAATGTGAAAATGGGGCCCACAGGCCCCTGGGCTTGCCCTAGGGCGTGAATTGACAGAGAAGCCACAAAGACCAGGAGACCCACGGCCTTGCTTTGAGAACTCTCATGAGGAAAAGTCACATTATTTTGTCCTCCCCACAAGAGGTGCTGGAAAGAGGAAGGAAGAAGTGTGAGGAGATAGATAAGTAATAGGTGGACAAATAAATGATTTCATGAATAAAAGCTATGAAAGAAATGCATGGGGTAATGTGACTGGTAAGGTGGGCTGTATTATAAGATGTGGGTGGGGAAGAAATCTCTGAGGAGGGGGTATTTGAGCAAAGATCTGGTTAATGAGGAGCCAGGCAGACCAAGATCTGGGTGATAGGCAAGCATTCCAGATAGAAGAAACAGCAAGTGCAAATGTCCTGAGGTAAGAATGAACTTGGTGGCCAAAGGGAAAAGAAAAGAGAGCGTAACTGGAGTGTGGTGAACAAAGAGGATTTTGGTAGGAGGTGAGTTCTAAGATGTTGTATTAGTTATCTACTACTGCATAACAAATCAACCCTAAACCTAGCAATTTAAACAAGTAGTCCTGTATTATATCTCACAAGTTCCATGGGCCAGGAATTCTGGCAGGCCATGGCAGAGACAACCTATCTGTGCTTCTTGGGCCTCTGCTGGAAGACTCAAGGGCGAGACAAGAAGCAACATGTTTGGCTGTTGATGTTGGTGTCGGCTAGGTACCTAGGTGGGGCAGTTGATTGGTCTACCACAACATGGTAGTCTGGGTCCAAGGATACGTGTCCCGGGACAGAGAGCCTGGTGGAAGTTATAATCTTTCTGCCACTTGGTCTCAGAAGTCACAGAGCATCTACTTCTACTGCATTCTCTTAGAAGTGAGCCACCAAGTGCAGCCCACATTCAAAGGAGGGAATTAAACTCCATCTTTTGAATGAGGAGTGTCAAAGAATTTGTGGACATATTTTTAAGTACTATGGCTATGTAGATAAGAGCCGGTTGAGGAGAGAGTTTGAATTTTATTCTAAATGCAATGAATCTTTGGAAGGCATGAAAGGAGGTTGGGGGCGGGTAGCATGATCTAATTTATACTTTAAAAGGGACATGTTGGCTACGGGGCAGAGAATGAGTTATAGAGGTCAGACCTGGTATAGGGGGTTAAAAATTTGACGTGGAGAAAAAAGACCTGGATTCAAGTTCAAGTTCTTGCATTAACTAGCTGTTACCTTGGGCAAGTCTCCTCACATGAGGATATAGGAGTACACTTTCCCATTTACATGGGATGTACCTAGGTCTTTTCCTCCCTCAGACCTGCAGGGGGCAATGTTTGTTTTATGTCTCTCCTCTGTTAGATGCCTGTTTTTGCTCACCTCCATAACCCGGCACAGGACCTAGAATGGGAAGGCTCTCCACAAGTATTTGTTGGAAGAATAAGGGAACCAATACTATTGTAAATATTGGTCCTTGACAACAGATCTCTCTGACCTTCTCGTTCTGGAGTGTATCCACCAACCCAACAAGCCCTCAGGGATAGGGCTGTGTCAGGAGAACTGAGGGAGCATGTGGCTCCATCTCTTCTGGAATATTCCTACTGCCCATTGTGTATTGGAGGCCACAAGGCCCGATTGCATTCAGAGCTGTCATCGCTGCCCAGATGGATATAACGAAAGCCAAGACCTGTCCTCGCCGAACCCAACACCAGTGGCAGACTCAGAACAGCCCACTCTGGGGCTCTGAGGGCTAAAGGAGGTATCAAATAGTAGTACCTTCATGCTTGGCTACTGCGCCCCGAGGAGAGGAGCCTCACTCTTTCCATGACAGCACCAGAAGACTGCACTGTGGGGGCCAGACAGGAAGAGTAAAGAGAGAGAGAGCGACCCTCACATAGCACAAAGGGCCCAGCTAGGAGGCTTTCTGCCCCATAGGCAGGGCGCTGGGTCCAGCCACTTCCTGCGCAGGGGCGGGGCTGGGGCCATCCCCAAGCTCATCACCCCCACCAGAGATACTGGGGAGGCTGTGACTGGGAGGGTAAGGGTAAGAGATGCACAATCTTTCCAGTCTTTGTTTGCATTTTTTTAATCTTTTTTTTTTTTAAATAGTCTCTACACCCAGCATGAGGCTTGAATTCACAACCCCAAGGTCAAGAGTTGGCCGCTCTACCACTGAGCCAGCCAGGCACCACTCAAGTCATTGTTTGCATTTTTAAAACTCCTAAACTGTAAGTGTCCCAGGCAAGAGACTATTTGTTCAACAGGGTGTCTAAATTTCTACAGCCTTCAGGCATTTATTCTTTCTAGATATATTGAGATGCCAGGATGCAAAGACGGATCAGTGTGGGCCCTTTCTTGTGGAGAGACTGTTTGAGGTTTTTATTCAGAGTGTGAGGCCAAGGGGTCTGAGGTCAGGCTCTGGGGTCCAACCCCTACCCCTTCCTGTGCTCCTCCCTGTCCCGCCTTGCCCCAGAGTGGATTCCATTCCGCCCCCCCACCACCACCCCAACAGGGGCAGCCACCATAGCAGCCTCTCCCAGCAGGGAGCCCAGAGAG